AAAGAATAAAGTAGTTTTATTTAAGAAAGGACTTTTATCGCTGAAGTTCTTCGGAAAGGATTTTTACGAGTAATTAACAAACGAACAGAGACGTAACAATATTGTTTCTGGAGATTTCGAAGACGGAAAATTGCAAGAAAAAATGTTCTGACTTAGCAAAGAGCTATCCAGGTGATATATGTACAGTTTTGTAAACTAATAAAAATTTTATTTATAAACTTAAGTAGTATTTTATCAATCTGTTTTATAATCCACGTACACCACAAGTGACTGGCTTCTGATATAAAACATAAGTTTCAAAACTTGGGATATAACGGAAATGTATTCTGCATGCTTGAAAGATTACTGTAGCTATGTGACTTTGAACAATACTGGATGACATAAATATAAAATGGTTCACAAATTATCTAAGTACTCCTAGTAGGCTATACTTCATTAGTTAATTACCGCCTTACACAGGCCTAAAATAAAGTCACAATATAACATCTCACGATATCACAACTGTAAACCTGGAATTATTTATGTTATTGTCATTAAGTGGGTAATGAGTCATAAAACAAATAATCAAAACATTTCAGAGGTGGGGGCACCAAAAGAGTCTTTGCCCCTGGGTGCTGAGAACCCTTGCTACGCCACTGTTACAAATAAATGAATTTCTAGCTATAGATTTATCAATTAAAGTATTCCTAGATGTTATTTCTTTAATGCTTTAGTGACAATTAATATATTTTACCTCAAATTACTGTTTCAGGTTATAATGATGTTTTTTTAAGTACTACACTACTAAGGAGATTAAGATTTAAAATAAAATCTGCTATACACAAGTTCAACCACAACTTGTCAAGTTTTATTAACAAAATGTGTTCTGGCTTTCAAATATTTCACTGTTTATCATCAAACTAAAGGTGCATGCTATGAGTCTCTTATCTAAGAAAACATTTAAATGGACAATTATCTCTACAGGATTTAAAAACCCTTCACAATTTTATTACAAGTTCGATAATTTCATCATTTCCAATGTCCTTGGTTTGGCTGAATGTGTTGCAGAAGATCATTTAGCTATTTTGTTTATTAAAAACCCTCTCAAAAACCACAACATTTACATTTTTCTTCACTAAAGTTAAGACAAAAATCCTCTTACAAACCATAACATTTAAAGTTTTCTTCACCACAGTTAAAACAAAATCCTCTTACAAACCATAACATTTAAAGTTTTTTCACCACAGTTAAAACAAAATCCTCTTACAAACCATAACATTTAAAGTTTTCTTCACCACAGTTAAAACAAAATCCTCTTACAAACCATAACATTTAAAGTTTTCTTCACTACAGTTAAAACAAAATCCTCTTACAAACCATAACATTTCAAGTTTTCTTCACCACAGTTAAAACAAAATCCTCTTACAAACCATAACATTTAAAGTTTTCTTCACTACAGTTAAAACAAAATCCTCTTACAAACCATAACATTTAAAGTTTTCTTCACTACAGTTAAAACAAAATCCTCTTACAAACCATAACATTTAAAGTTTTCTTCACTACAGTTAAAACAAAAATTAAGGATGAAAAATTTATGGAGTAAGTCACAGGATTTTCTTGTGCCTTATTATCTCCACAGTCTATTGTTAGAACAACATAACCAGGCTATTAACCAGGGTTGTATTCACAGTCTATTAGTACTATAACATAATCAGGTTGTCACCCAAGGTTGCATTCACAGTCATTGGCAGAAAAACATAACCATGCTGTCAACTTAGATTGTATCCACAATCTATTGGCAGTACAACTTAACCATTCTGTCAACTTAGGTTGTATTCATAGTCTATTGGCAGTACAACATAACCAGGCTGTCAACTTAGGTTGTATTCACAGTCTATTTGTAGTACAACATAACCAGGCTGTCAACTTAGGTTGTATTCACAGTCTATTGGCAGTACAACATAACCAGGCTGTCAACTTAGGTTGTATTCATAGTCTATTTGTAGTACAACATAACCAGGCTGTCAACTTAGGTTGTATTCACAGTCTATTGGCAGTACAACATAACCAGGCTGTCAACTTAGGTTGTATCCACAGTCTATTGGCAGTACAACGTAACCAGGCTGTCAACTTAGGTTGTATCCACAATCTATTGGCAGTACAACGTAACCAGGCTGTCAACTTAGGTTGCATTCACAGTCCATTGGAAGTACAACATAACCAGGCTGTCAACTTAGGTTGTATCCACAGTCTATTGGCAGTACAACATAACCAGGCTGTCAACTTAGGTTGTATCCACAATCTATTGGCAGTACAACGTAACCAGGCTGTCAACTCACGTTGTATCCAGTCTATTGGCATTACAACGTAACCAGGCTGTCAACTTAGGTTGTATTCACAGTCTATTGGCAATACAACATAACCAGGCTGTCAACTTAGGTTGTATTCACAGTCTATTGGCAATACAACATAACCAGGCTGTCAACTTAGGTTGTGTCCACAGTCTATTGGCAGTACAACATAACCAGGCTGTCAATTAAGGTTTTGTGCTAGTACAAATAGACTAAGGCAATATAATAAATTAAAGATACATAAAAGAACCAACCTGACCCAGCATACTAGAGAATGCCCAGATCCGATGCATTTTCAATGGCACACTCACTAAGTACTAGAATAAAAAAGATTTTCTTAATTACAACCTTGGCAATCAAAATATTCAAAATGTACAAGGAAATGTCAAAAATTATAATTTTCCTACACTGAAAATATTTTTCTGACAGGTACTTATTTCTTCACACATAAATAGCTATTTTCGTTCAGTTCTGCCATCTATATGCAAAAAAGATTTTTAAGCATGCCACAAGTCTATAATCCCCCACTCAATTGGAATTGACTGATTCCAATGGGTTTCTCATGCAAATCATTATGCGACAACCCTCCACCAACAAGAGTGCGACATACTCTCTTGACACATATGAGTCCCTCTATTCAATTCTACCAAACTATCACTTTAAGTTTTGTCAGAAAATGGAAGCACTACTTTTCAATGGGGAGGAAGGGTGAGGGGAGGGCAGCTATCCCCTTCTGCTTTACCTATGTAGTCCATGGGTGAGTGCAGTGTGGGATGGGCAAACTTATGAAGCAAATCTATTGCAAGGATAAACCTACAAGTGATCTTGTGGAACACCCCATCTCCGCAATGTGCGTTGCGTGGCCGTGGAATGATAATATGTAGGTCGATGTGGCTTACAGTGAGGATTTGAATGGTTAAAGAATACCTGGTCAGAAACCACTTGCCACAGAGCGGGATCCAGAAAAAAAGAAGAGGGACATGCTCCTGAAAAAGATGTATATATACTAAAAGGTAACTTACCCAGTCACAATCTCAAGAAAGAGTGATAGATGGCAACAGGTTGGTGACGGTACTCAGACAAGGAAGAAACAGCTACCCAAAGCAGAGAATTGGAGATAATGTATGAAGTGTAGACCCAGTGCTCGACATACAAAGTACCTCCAACGGATGGCAGGGTAGACATGCAGGGAAGAAGGAAGGTGCATGATCAGAGTGAAGACACCAGTAAGTGAAGATGGGAAGGAGACAAGAAAGAAAAGGCCAATTGAATCATAATCTAAACCAAATGGGTGAGAGAGGTAGGGAAAAATCATGAACAAAGAAGTGGAGTAAGGGGAGGAAATGTGGGAAATAAGCTTAATGGAAAGAAACATTTCAACCAATGATGCAACCCACAACACGTACTGGACAGGGAAGGTCATCTGGATCCCTCTGAGAAGAAATGTGGAAAATAGTAAGAAACAAAAAAGTTGAATAAAATATACCAAATGAGCCACTAAAATGTAGGTTAATATAATTGATCCAGAACAAAAGAAACAAATCGAGCTGAAACCGCTGATAAAACCAAAGCAGCGCTGGCCAGGAAAGATCAATATAAAAGACCTGAACTGGAATGACATGGATGCACAAAATTTTGGGGAAGAAGACTGATGGAATGAGAAAAAAAAGCGATCATAAACCTATTTGAAATTAACGACAACCAGGGAAAGTGAATGACGACCAAGAGACCAAAAACAAAAAAGGTAACTAACTGGGAAGTGATAAAAGTTTCAAGAACTACATGAGTCAGAGCCACTAAAAATTATGAGGATCTAGAGGTCACTCCTTGGGAGAAAGAGTCAGGACTGGAAAATCAATTAGCAACAAGGACAAAACACCTGTAACACAGCCCTCTAGGAGACAAGTGTCAAGTGTGGGGATTAAAAACAAAAACACACTGTTTACCTCAAAGGGAACAAAAAGAAGTGTCCTCTTGGCTAGTGATATAAGCCATCACTGTCAAAACAAAACAGGATCAACCATACCGAATGAGAAGAGTGTGGACTGAAGCACCTTGGACTGGTGGAAGTGTCCAGGTATGATTAGGGACCTTTTTGACTGTAGACCATTATCCAGAAGCTTTCTACTGATAGATTTCCCCTATCCCATGTTTGGAGATGAACATCAGAGAAGAGAAACAAACCAGAAGAAGGGAAGGAAGTGGTAAATCCAATGTCGTGGGGGATATGTTGAACTAGCAATGCATATAGACAAAGAAGGAAGGATGTAAATTAAGAGAAAAACCCATAGTAAAGGCTTGGATAACATTAGACACCTTCATATGCATTTGAAGAGGAGAATGAATGGTCCCAATGGAGGTGGTGTTTAAAAATACACCACCAAAGAGACCAGGATGTGAGGTATGTAACAACAAATACTTATCCAACTGGAAAATCCAACAACCTGATCCAACTATGGAAGGAGTAGAAGAGTATGTTAAGACTACCCCCATTTGAAAGGAGCTAACCAAGGTTAGACATCTAATGAATGGTGTTGGTAAAATCCCCCAAATGTGGAAGTTGGGTAAAATGAAGACCACCACACAAAAGACATATGGAACCAAAACAAGTTCAAAGGTCAAGGCATGAAACTGGTACCTAATCACGTGGTGAAAAAATTGAAGATAAGAATGTGTGCCATGGGCATTCTCAGTCCTGCAGAAACAGCCTACCCAAATGTGATGAAAGATGACATATTAAAACAGGGAAGACCCAAGAAGTGATTGAGGTGGGACTGATTGATCCTGAACTCCAACCAGCATTGAGTAAACAAGACAAATTAAGAAAACTCATACGTAAGACAGTTAAAGGGTGGGCAGGTGCTGAACATATAAATATGATAATATCTCTGAATGAAATAAAAAAATTGAATATAGCATCACAGATACCCCACGTGATACTAAGTGTACAGAAGTAGCCCCAAAAAGTGGAGAAAAAGAACTGACCGTAAGACCCTATTAGCAGTGGATGGTAAACAGCAGTGTCCCACTCTAGAAGATCCTAAAAGCAAAGAAACTACTTGTGGAGAGAATGAACTTAAGATGACAAACACCTGAATATGGAGGGAAGAAGGAAGAAATATCCCACAAAAATCCCTAAATATAAGTGGAACACCAAAGAAAGGAGATGGAAGGTAAACATGAACTGTAGGAGGGTTGATAGGGTAAAAGAAAGCTAAAAAAAAAAACAGGTCGTATGAAAATGGGTTCAGCCATTACAGGAGGAAGGCAAGTAATACTGGGAGCACGTAGGGTGGGCCCCGGCCCTCATGGGACCTCACAAACAAAATTAATGGTAAGAAGTATAAATTATAAATTAAATAGTTGTTATAGTGGAGATGTTAAGAAACTGTGTAGTGAAATAAACATATGTATGTAATGTTATGTGTTGAAGAAAAGATATTAAACATAATAATCGATCAACCTGTAAATAGAACCACAAGTAAACCAAAAATAACAGACACTTATTAAGCCTAATCAAACAGTACAGAACAAAGGATAGCACTTAGCACTAAAATAAAAACTTAACCAAACAAGAATTATGTACAATATTGGGAGAAGTTTATGTGGACCTTGGCTCAAGGGTTACACACAAACTAGGTGAATAGGAAGAAGGATAAAATAGAAATAATAACAAAAATGAAATAAATGTGGTTTTATGAAATTAAGGAAGTGTGTAGTAACAATAACATATGTATGAGACATGATGTATGGAAGAAAAACAATATATTGTTAAACTAATGATTGATATACCAGTAAGATGAATTACAAGTAATCCTAAAATAACAAAGATCATGGTAAGCCTAAGCGAATAATATAGGAAAAAAAAAAAAGATACAATTAAGACTAATTGTTAACCTAAACTTGACTATGTGTATTAACCAATCTAACAAAACTTGTGTTATGGAACCCAAATAACTACAGATAACAATATCAACAATAAAATTATTAAAAAAAACATAACAGTATAACGTCTTATCTTTCCAAAGTCAGTGGACTGTATTTCAAATGTGTGGTCTTTCAAACTTGAGGTTAGGCTCGAAAAAAGTCAGTTCATTGGACAATCACTCTCCCAATGAAGTAAAGTCGAAAATCTTCCCATGGAGTACCAAAACCTGAAGCCTGTGTAAATGTGCTAATAGAATATATAACCTCTGAAGTGGTAACATAGAATTCATAATGCCAAATGAATAACCAAACACAACTGTGTTTGGTAGAAACAAATAAAATAAAGTTCTGTAACTGGGTAGAATATAAAATAATTCCACTTCGGAATAATTCAACAAGTTACAAATATCACTATTATACAATAAAGAGTAAACTTGTTGAGAGGAATTAATACAAAGATATGAAAAAATATTAAAATAAAACACTTGAAGAGAGCACAACTAAACATTATAGTACGAGTACTGCCAAACGAGAAGTAATAATTCAGTAGAATTGAATAGAGGGAGTCACATACATCAAGAGATTATGTTGTTGGACGGTTGTCGCATGAGAGATGCATTGGGATCAGTCAGTTCCGATTCAATGGGAGATTAAAGGCTTGTGGCATGCATTTTTTTTGCATATAGAGGGCAGCACTGTACCATATCGGAAGTGGAACATTTTCCTCAAGGAATGGTCTTTTTAAAGATTCATTCCATAATAAATAACAGGTTGGATCCAAAACTAACTGCACAAGTTCTTAACAATTTTATTTTATTATATAAACATCAAAAACTAAATACCACTAATGTATAAATACATAATGAAATAGATTCATTTTCTCTCTATATATAAAAATATGTTAACATAAAAATATGTATACTACATGTATTACAGGGTGTTACATGCATTTTGCATGATTATGAATTTAATGTCATACATTCTTTGATAGATTGTTTAGGCAGTGTATTCATTGTGAAACTAAGTTGAATGGATGGCTACCTGTTGTAGAAACAAACAAATTTTGGAAGACAAGAAAAATTAAAGAATCATTTTATATTAACACAATAAAACCTTTACTAAATAGAGATTCTGAATTAAAGGTGAGTAGCCTGTGGCTACCATTGGTTGAATCTACAGGAAGTCTCTCCACCAATCAGAAACATGGATAAACCAACCAATCATAACACGCTCTTCACAATCCACCAGAATATTATAAAGGCTGACTACACCATATACACACTGACCTGAAGACGAAAGGCAGAAACTTTCGAAACGTCATCTTCTACACTTTTGTTTCTACAGTAGGCAGTTGCCATCCATTCAACTAGGATTCAACAATGTCATAAACATCTAATAGTAGTATTAGATAAGTTGTAGCATGGATCTTGCAGGATTGTAGATCTAACTGTAATAGATGTTTGACAGCAGTATTTTATAATATCCTATAGGTTGTAGCATGAATCTTGCAGGATTGTAAATCTAATTGTAATAGATGTTTAATAGTATTCTATAGGATGTAGCATGAATCTAGCATGATTGTATACCTAACTGTAATAGATGTATAATAGTATCCTATAGGTTGTAGCATGGATATAGCATGATTGTAGATCTAACTGTAATAGATGTATAATAGTAATGCTACATCCTATAGAAGGATCTAGCATGATTGTATACCTAACTGTAATAGATGTATAATAGTATCCTATAGGTTGTAGCATGGATCTAACATGATTGTCAGATCTAACTGTAATAGATGTATAATAGTATTCTATAGTTTGTAGCGTGGATCTAACATGATTGTAGATCTAACTGTAACAGATGTATAATAGTAGTATTTTATAGTATCCTATAGGTTGTAGCATGGATCTTGTATTATAGTAAATCTATTATAGAAAGATATTTAATAGGATTCTATAGGTAGTAGTACTTCTTACACCAAAGATGTTAATTTTTGACATGCACTACAGAAACCTACTGCCTTTCTATGATGTGTTAACTACACCTGTAATTACTTAAGATCACAGAAAGGTGGGCTAAAGCATCTCTCACTAACTATGCATATTACCCGTATCTTTATTTATTTACAAATTTTAGATTGAGAACAGTTAATAGCGTTTCTCAGTTCACCACAGCAGTGGCCTTGAAATTTACTACACAAAATATCTTCAAAACTCTAGAACTAGGAAGCCTAAATACTTTATATAATTAGCTTTTTTTATGTTTAATGTCTATATCTAGAAATTATGTGGTTAAAATACACAGAAAATTCAAAATAAAGCATAAAATCCATTAACAGAATGTTGCAGGACTAAAATATTATTTTATTGTAGTTTTGAATACACGTTAAGTAACATTATAAATGAAATTAACTGAAATTAAAAACTATTACACACAATGAAAAACCATAAATATTACCTCATGGAAAAAGGCAGAAACAAAAAAAACACATACAGAAGCTTGGGTTTTGCTACATCCCACAGATATCAGAGGTTTGTACAAGTGACGAACAGCCCAGCGATGAACAGGAATATTCCAATTCTGCCAGAAATATTGCACAGTTTCAGCATTCCTGTAATAAATTTTGATAAATAAATCATTACCAAATATCAGCCTTTCTGTTAAATGAAATTATTCCCGATAACCAGTCAGCATGCCTGATAAAGTGCCAGCATTCTAAATAAATAAATATAGTTCAGAGGTTAATGTAGCTATTGTAACAATAACACATAACTTTTTTAAATCTTTATCTATAACTCATTCACTTTTCAATGAATGCATAGAGTTGTTTAACATACACAAATTCAAACAAACAATTAACACTTTAGTTTATTTGTGACTTCATGCAAATACTTTCAGTTAGAAAAACATATTTAAACACATAACAAAACTGTAATCTGTTCAAAACTAAGCCAGTAATTCCTGAAAAGTAAGTCACTTAAGACGTGTTACATTTCACTGCACTACAAATAATTTTGGTTTGGTTTGTTTTTAATTTTGAACGAAGCTACTCAAGAGCTATCTGTGCTAGTTATTACTAACTTATAATTTAAATACTATAAATAAACAACCTTGTAACACCAAATTGTTGTTTTTCTTTAACTGAACACTCAACATTTTACTTTACCGCTTCTTCAGAAGCATTCCATTAAATAAAAACCATAACTGAGAGTACAAATGGCTTAAATAATAAATTTATTATTAAACCTTTTACAGCTTTGTATTGTCAGATATGGTCTGTGTTTTAGTGGAATGCTCCTGAAGAAGCTATAAAGCAAGACGTTGAGTGTCCAATTAAAAAAAATTAACAATTTGGTGTTACAAGGTCATTTATTTATAGTGTTAAAATATCCCCAATTTTGCAGTGACAGACTAGAGAGAAAGCATATAGCAACAAAACCCATTGCCTACTCTTAAGCTATTAATTTTACCAATGAATACTGGGATTGGCTGTCACATTATAATACCCCCACAGGTGAAAGGGTGAGTATATTCAGTAATGGGGATTCAAACCCATGACCTGCAGGTTGCAACTCAAGCATCCAAACTACCAGGCCATGCCAGACTGTATTAGGAATAATAAATGAGATATTTAAAGTTGTCACACACATTTTGACTAACATCTACTGATTTCATGACTATTCTCCTTATACAGAATCCCCAATATAAAAACAATATGCACATATTATTTGTCACAATGCTATATGTATAATTATTTATCTGTATGGTTGAGTAAACCAAAACTTGTAATTATATATAAACCAACAAGATAAACACTAGGTCTAAAGAGGTGAAGTAAAGACAAAGTGTCATTGGCCACTATTCAGTTCTTCACATTATATAGCCACACAATAGCAGATATAATAAATAAGCTTAGTGTTCTGAAAATTGTTCAAGAGAGGTCAAGTTCAATCTACACTTTGATCAATGTGTGTTATTGGGTTATACTAGTTTCGGAGAATTCCACTCATCAGTAACCCTGAACACAAGTTAACCAAAGAGAGATAAGCTGGACCTATATCATTGTGAAAAGTATCAAACTTACAAATATTTATTAAACAATCGGTCTAGTTCACTACTACTAATCACATACAAAATAAAATCCTTAACTAAGGGTCATAACTATTTCCCAAAATAATTTTATCCCATATAAAAAAATATTTGAACTACAGGCCTAGAAATTATAAAATTATATGCATAAGAATCTCTGCATACCCTAGAGTAACTTTAAAACATTTCACTACTTTCTTTACCATTAAAGACCACCCGAGTAAAGAATAGCTGCACACCCTAGAGTAACTTTAAAACATTTCACTACTTTCTTTACCATTAAAAACCACCCGAGTAAAGAATAGCTACACACCCTAGAGTAACTTAAAACATTTCACTACTTTCTTTACCAATTAAAGACCACCCGAGTAAAGAATACCCGCACACCCTAGAGTAACTTTAAAACATTTCACTACTTTCTTTACCATTAAAGACCACCCGAGTAAAGAATACCCGCACACCCTAGAGTAACATTAAAACATTTCACTACTTTCTTTACCATTAAAGACCACCAGAGTAAAGAATCTCTGCACACCCTAGAGTAACTTTAAAACATTTCACTACTTTCTTTACAATTAAAGACCACCCGAGTAAAGAATCTCTACACACCCTAGAGCAGCTATAAAACATTTCACTACTTTCTTTACCATTAAAGACCACCTGAGTAGTGAATCTCTACACACCCTAGAGCAGCTATAAAACATTTCACTACTTTCTTTACCATTAAAGACCACCTGAGTAGTGAATCTCTACACACCCTAGAGCAGCTATAAAACATTTCACTACTTTCTTTACCATTAAAGACCACCTGAGTAGTGAATCTCTACACACCCTAGAGCAGCTATAAAACATTTCACTACTTTCTTTACAATTAAAGACCACCCGGTAGACAATAGTTGCCGGCCCCTAGAGCAGCTATAATATATTTCCTTGTTTTTTTACTACCAATATCACCCAAGTAATAAATTTCTGCTCACTGTCTTATTTGGTTTCCCCTACTCTTAACTTTGACCAACAACATTAAAATCTAACAATAAAGAGTAATGTTATATGTTGTGTTTAAAATACTAGTATGAGAATTTAAAAGGTAAATACATATCATAATTTATTATTGTGTGCACTAACAGTGGAAATAGAAAGTAAAATATCATTTTTGCACAAAATCTTGAAAAAATTACCTGCAACATTGTGTGCCATATAAACACATTTCTCAAACATTCTAACTTACATATTTTCACATCAGTTCTTCTAAAACTCCAAGACAGTATTTATGTTGAGGTAAGTTTTACAAATCTGACCTTTGGTGTTTTATTTTGCAAAATAAGTGTTCATATTGAAGTGTTCTAGATTTATAATACCTAGTCTCTCAAAAAAAAGTATTTAATCATACAAGATAATGTCTGTATTCAGATGTTCTAAGTTTTACAGCCTAGTGTTTCATTTTGCATGACAATATCCAAATTAAAGTGTGCTAAGTTTCACAATAAGTGAATGTCCTCATTGAGGTGCTCTAATTTCATAAAAAAATGGTGTTTTAATTTGCAAAATAATATCCATTTGAGGGGCTCTGTGTTTCATACAGTTACTCATTAAAAAATTGTTTTTAGTTTTGTAATATAGCATCCAATGTTAAAATGCTTTAGGTTTTATAAGCCTAATCTATCTCATAATAGTTATTTTGTGAGATAATATATATATTGAAGAACTTTAGGCTTAATAAACTTAGTATATATATATATATATATATATATATATATATATATATATATATAT